CTTCGCATAGTTGCCATTTGAACCAGGTGAATTTGCTGGATGGTTCCTTAGTGTTGGTGCTATAAGGAAGGGTGTATTCTGACTGGTGCACCAGTAAGCTGGTCTGAATATAGCTTATACATGGATACCAGGCAACGCTCATCCCCCATGCTTTGGTGTGTAGGTTACAGATACCCAAACGACTATCCCCTTGGCATGTTTTCGATTGCCTCTCTGTGACATATGGATATAACTGATTGGTAAAGCCAGTTTGAGATTGTGAGTACACTGCAGCAACTACCGTAGCGGACGATAAGGAATAAAAAAGAAAAGTAGATATGTTTTTATATATTCCTAGTTTCTTTTATTGCATAAATACTCATACTTGCTTATGATACCCAGTAAGTAAAGAAGAAACTCAAGGGGCTATGAGTAACTGTTCTGCATTTGACTGAAGCACCAGACACTCTTCAATGAATTACAATTAGGAAAGTAGTATGTTTTAATCTGATCTGAGGTCATCACCAATCCAATCCAATCATAGCCAATCCAGTCATCAGACAAAATCATTGAGTACACTCTTGATAATAGTCTGAAGGCCAAGAAGCTTCAGTGTTTGAAAACGGTGATGTAGAAGCAGCAGTCCTCAGGCGGTATTTGATGGCTGTATATCGATTCCCATAAGATCACAAAGGTCTGGCAGTTCATATCAAATCGTGCTCCTGACGTTCCTGTACATTATGACTGGGTCAGGTGGCCGCTGATTACTCGGCTGACAGTCGGACGAGCTCTTCGTCTAGTGACCCTCCAGTGAATTAAGTCATCAGATTCATCAGGGATCAGTTACATTCCGCTAGCTATTCCTATTGCCTTTACTCAATACACTGTCTCTGCAGCTCTTCTATATTTTCATACAAAAGCAAATACAAAGTACAATTGTAGGAGGCTTCGGCAAGTGGAGTATGATTTTTATGTGTAAAACAACTTTCTTCTTCTCACCAATGAAGGTTTTGACATCTTCCGTACTTGTACTCCCTTGCCCCAATCAAAACGTATGTGTGCTCGCACCTTGCTTTATGTGCAGTGCTGTATGATCTGATGAGGTGATGATTATCACTATTAAAAGTTAAAAAGGTTTTCCAGGGCTTGAAAGTCAAAAAAAGATCAGGTGAGCCCAAGGTTACTGGACCTGTTTATTAGATGTGTCAATTTCAATTCAGTTGTGCCTTGTCTATATTATCCAATAATTATAAGGCAGCTTATCCATTGGATTAAGTTTTAAATGACATAAATGTTGAAAATTATGTTGTACAGTACAGAGAGTTACTGGATGAGCATACTCGTTGCAAATTCTGCAAAATATTAAATTGTTACCTCTGTCACTTATTAACAACAAGGTGTACTATAGAAGAGGCCAGTGACTCGGAATACCTTGCGCTGATTTATTTTTAGATAATTTTGGCTTTGGTTCATCTTTACTATCACACTCGTCACAGGGAGGTTTTTTTTAAATTTCAATGTTCGCTCCAGCACTCGACGATATATAGTCTGGTTTCCTCGCCCGTTGTCTGCAGTAGCTTTGTTAGAAGTTACAGCAGTAGGCTTGAAGAAAAATAAAATAGTGGATGTTTTTTCTCTCTTTTTAGACTTCCATTTTGACAAATAGCGATCGTCTGCTAGGTATTTCTCAACAGTCAACACGAATAGCAACTTCCGTTGGAAACACAAGACCTACGTAATATTCCGTCAAAATACGGAAAGAAGCGAGTACATTCAAATGTTTTGAACATCTCGTCAAACATGGTAAGATATAGTCAACGGAAACAACCGAATTATGCCGATTGATTTTACAACAGACAGTCCTTCAGAGATAGTAGAACATGCAACACTTATTGGAACATTCTTTTCACATCAGTTTAATTTTGTAAATACATGAAATAACATCAACAAAAGTACTTTTAATGAAAATGACCGGGCCCACGGGTACTGTACACCTATTTTATGTGTGTCTCGGGCACGGCGGCACTAGTGATATCGAGCTCCGTTTTTCATTGCTAATCTTAAAACTGCATAATTTCACTTTCTTATACCCCGTTCACATGCGCCTCTATACATAAGTGTGTATATGTGCATACGTGTGTAGAAATACATACGTGAGTTTACTTGTCATGTTAATACTTGTCATATTTGCATCAGGAGCAATTTGCATCATGTCTGGAGCAGGTGCAAATATAAATGTAAATTTGCACTGTGTATATATGCTGCAATGTGAACGTTTATGTTAACGTAAGAGGGTGATCAAATTAATTTCTGTTCTTTTGCCAACACCAAACAAATTGTCAACAGTTGCCAATGCGTATATACAGAGTTGAGCGGGCGGTGTTTTCTTTTGGTTTAAAGGGTCAAAACTTTGTGTACAAATTAAATCAAACACATGTTCCTTCACGCGAAAAAAATCGGTGAAGTAACTCTATTCTCATTTAACTTTGATTAGAAAACAACCTGTTTTGTGTTGAAAGTCGTAAACAGACTGACGAATATGTGTGCCTTACACAATTTACAAACTTTATTTACACACCTAACACCTAACATTTTCATTTGAACGCACAGTAAATTTACATATACACACGTATGTATAGTTATACATGTGCAAAATTACTTGCGTTAGTAAATGTTGTGCATGTGAACGGGGTATAATATGCATTGTGTCTTCAACTTATGGCCCGACATATACAATTCTACTTTTGCTGGACTTTAGCCTGTATCATTCTCATTAGGATCTTTGAAATACAAGGACAGTAATGTGAGGTTTTATCTTTTTCTCGTATTAGATTTAGTCTCCACCCTCAGCAGATTGAACGTGGCAGTCTGACATTCATTTCTCCAATACAAATACCTCTTGTATCCCTTACACAGAACAAAATACACCTTGCGATCTACGTAATAATTGTATTGTTTTCGTGGTATTATTATGATGACGAACATAGGTCTGTACATATACTTAATATAACTATTGACGTGAAGGGCGGTCGGGTAGCCTAGTGTTTAAAGCGTTCGCTCGTCACGCCGAAGACCCGGATTCGATTCCCGACATGGGTACAATGTGTGAAGCCCATTTCTGGTGTCCCCCCGCCGTGATATTGCTGGAATATTGCTAAAAGCGGCGTAAAACCATACTCACTCACTCACTTTTGACGTGTGTTGCCTTCGTGGCACTGATCAGACAAAAACTGTTGATCATAATACAACAAATGTTTTACGGAGGGTAAACAATGGTTAATTCGTCAGTACCGGCTATTGTCCTGTTGTCTTTAACACAGTATCAGACTGCGTAGTGTGTAATTTGTGGTTCGGTGCAGGAAACAACAAGATAACACAGTAAACCAAAGCAGACAATGTAGATCTACACATAGTGGAATACACATGTACAAGAGCCGTTTTTATACTTGGTTTCAAAAAGAAAGCTTAAAAAAACCAACGTTTGATTTACAGCTGATGTATGTCTCTTTGCAGGCCATTAGTATCCGTTATATACACGATATACACACGATATACACACGATATACACACGATGTACACACGATATACACACGATATACACATTTCGTCCAAAATACTAGTATGTGGGAATATATTCTTTGTGTACAGCGACTGAGTTTGGAATATGTGTGATGTATAAGGTGACTTATTACATCCAAGTAATGAAGTAGTTTCAGGGTTGCTGTTTGATAAAGCTGTTGTTACATATTCTAATTTAATTATAAGAGTAAGTTGCGATATTTAGATTTACTACATGAATAGACTCTGAGAAATGGCTGTATTAACGTTGTACCTATATTTTATTTTGTATTCATATTTTTATCAAAATGAATAAATTAAAACATTTTGAATGTTTGTGTGGAGGGTATTTGTGAGTGTTATCCAACTGCGAAGTGATCCGTGAAGGTCCAGTGTTGAATAGGTCTTCAGCAACCCATTCTTGCCGTAAAAGTCGACTATGCTTGTCGTATAAGAGGCGACTAACGGGATCGGGTGGTCAGGCTCGCTGTTTGTTGTTTAACGCCGCACTCAGCAATATTCAAGCTATATGACGGCGGTCTGTAAATAATCGAGTCTGGACCAGACAGTCCAGTGATTGACATCATGAGCATCGATCCATGCAGTTGGGATACGATGACATGCTTCAACCACGTCAGCGATCAGTGATCGATAGAATCCATGTATGTGAGTTGTTAGTGAACATCTCATGGACGACTACATCTCCTTACCATGTGAGGAAGGTTTCGCAGAGGTCATCAATGGTTTCAGGGAAAATGGAACTTTCCAAACTGCCCATGTGCCCACGGATTGCCTATCCCTAAAATTGGCCCAAGAGAGGTACATAGAGATTCCCCAAATCGCTAGGCTTGGTATTCATTGATAATCGAGGGTCTTTGCGTTCATCGGTATGTTTTTAGAAACATAAATATAGGATGGCCAGGTCGAGTTTTTACCAAACTGCACGTGTATATTTAGTTTCACATTTGCAAAACCTCTGGAATTGATGTAAATTTGGCGCAAATTTGCACACATATGCAATTGCGTTCACATGACAAAATTACACAGATGTGCATATTTTGCAAACGTATGTATATTTACATGGGTATGCAAACAGGTGCGTGCGAACAGGGTACAAGATGAAGACTTCAATGAGGCTGGGGCATCGCTAATGAAGTCAAAGGTGATTATATTGATAACTAATGTGCTTCTAACTAATGTTGCTTCTCAACGATATTCTATGTGAGACCACCAACTTTTTCTTTACCCTAATAAACACGTATTTTACAAGTATTCTATGCCGCTGTATATAAAATAGTTCAAACAACTGGTCTGTCTGTTGCTGACTGGCCTAAAATAACATTCACTCACTCACACGTCATACCCCTTGGTCAACAGATTGTCAATGTACTTGGTATTTTATAAAGCATTGATTACGGGGGTTTAATGCTACTTCCCCGAAATAAACAAACCAGAAAAACGACTTCCATTTCTAACGTTTATATGACCATCGAAATATCCTTTACAAAACACTATGTACACACACTTTAGTCAAGAGACATGGCAACTTGTCAAACACGTTCAATGTGTTCTCATTGTTATGAGGACAAACATGACCAGGAACTGGAATATCTGAGATCTATACCCCTTCATGTCCAGCAAGTCATATATGATAATGAGTGTGATTGAGTTAGGGTTACCACCGCTTTGAACAGTGTCATGGGAGTTGACCATTTCAAGTCGAGATGTTGCTGGAATATTAATAAAAGCGGGGTAAAACCTACACACCCACTCAGTTACTCACTAATGTGGGGGAAATTTGTTGACCCACAAGAAACCAAGAATCGTAATCAGGGCGAATCTGGGATTCGAGCTCATGATCCTGGTACTGCTAAGGTACACAACTCTGTGCATATTGTTCAAATGATAGTCACAAAAACAAATACAGCATGGTGCTTTCTCTCCTCAATAAAAGGACATGTGAACATTGAATGATTTTTCTAAACGAACTCAAATCACTGGTTGAGGACATCTTGTTCTGTGTTGACTGCAGTCACTAAGAGAAATAGGTGAGGACGCTCTCCTGGTTTCCGCGAAGTAGTAGTGTGGGAGGGAGGTTGCTCGTCAGGATCTCCAGCCACGCCATGTACAGCCCTGCTGGGCACGACGTCTTGCGCAGCACGGGCAGGGTCCTACAAACACACACCAATCTTTAACAGACTTACAATTGATGGCATGTGGTAGCATTGTATATTAACTAGGTAATGTGTAACTCTAGTACCCAACGACCCTTGCTGATCGTAAGCGGTGACAGGTACGATCAGGTGGTCAGGCTAAATGACTGGATTGAAAGGGTGTCCTCGTGACCTGACGTTATAGGATCTTGCTTATCATATCATTCACTAGTTTGTCTGGTGCTGACTCCATTATTTACGGACGCCATCATATAGCTGGAATATTGCTGAGTGGGGCCTTATACAACAAACAACTCGGTGTGGCGTGTCGGCTAAATTTGGGAAGAAATTCTCCCAAAGCAGTTTGAGAAATGGAGCAGACTAATGTACACATTGAAGGAGAGAAATACTTACATAACTATGAGAGAGGCATCAGTGGAGTTTTCTAACAAGAGCTCGCGGAGACGGAGTTTCATGTAGGTCTGGAATATAGATAAATGGTCAGTCTCTAAACACGTTTCAATGTAGGAAATATGAACTATATGGAACACACTTAAAGACAGTGTCATACGGTTAAGTTTCTGTAGTCTAGCGGTTTATCAATTGTATGTAAATTAAATTAAATTTAATCTTTAATTTGTATACCAAATTCAAATCCCGGTAAGATTCTCCTGTGCACTTTACCTTGTCTGGGGTTCAACAACAAAGTGATTGAAAGTCGAATCAGAACAAGGTAAGTCACATTATGACTCAAACATAGAAACCAACTTACTGGCAAACCCTCTTGTGAGAAGCTTAAAATATACACTCTAAATACAATCGGTCACTTGAATTCAGACTTTGCAGTTACGGAAATGGCCGAGGTTTGCCGATTGCTACACATCGTGTTGAACTGTACCGTAAATTCCTGTGACTATCATAAAATCGTGGAGTTTATTTACTTCGGAAGGTCCTCAGGCGTTATTCGAGGGACGAGTGCATCCAGGTCATTTAAAATGTGCTTCAAATGCACCTTCTCAATGTTTCATGAGTTTTAAAGAAGCAGGTATACATTTATGATCTGAGCTCATTGAAGAAAGGTTGTTATTCAAGGATGTGCGGTATGGATGAACAGCTACCTTATGTTTCTGTGCTCTGAGATCCGAGTCAGTTATTTTCCAGGGTAGGTCAATCTGAGATTCACCCGGACGCAGCCTCCACCTGTAGATCATGGACTCGAACTCCTTGTAGCTGAAACAAAGCATGTGCATCCTTTTAATACACTGTCTTCCTCATCTAATATTTACGATGTTTTCGGGAACAAGAACATTGGTTCACAGGAACAGAAGAATATGTTGTGGTCAGAAACATATAACGACGTCAGCCTGGAGAGGATGGATAACGGGATCGGATGGTCAGGCTCGCTGACTTGGTTGATGCACATCATCGTATCCCAATGGCGTGGATCGATGCTCATGATATCAATCACTGTATTGTCTGGTACAGACTCGATTATTTACAGACCGCCGTCATAAAGCTGAGATATTGCCGAGTGCGGCGTTAAACAACAAGCAAACACAACATAAGAGTCTAGACCAGGACAACAGTGGTTGATAGCATGAGCAACAACCCACACAGTTTACCCTTCAAACAGCTCACATATTGTGACCACACAATGGTCTTCAATTGGTGGCGGAGCCTTTTCTGACCGGATATTCTCACAGAGCGTTATCCCTGAGAAGATCCGGGTTGGTCGTGGTCTTCAGCAACCCATGCTTTTCGTAAGGGGCGAATGACGGGATCGGGTGGTCATTTTATCCCCATTGCCAAGTTTGATGCTTATGTTAATCACTGGATTGTCTGTTCCAGACTTGATTACTTAGAGACCGCCGGCATATAGCTTGAATATTGCTGAGTACAGCGTTAAACAACAAACAAACACAGGGTGTTGATACTTGCCATATTTGAGTTCAGACCGCTTTGTGCAATTAGTCTCTCATGAACTCGTGTCAACCAAGTGGAGTTGATGTTCTCCATCGTGTTGACCCGTGAAGATTCCGGGGTAGAATAGGTCTTCAGCAACCCATGCTTGTCGTAAAAGGCGACTAACGGGATCGGGTGGTCAGGTTCGCTGACTTGGTTGATGCATGTCATCGATCCCAATTGCATGGATCGATGCTCATGATGTCAATCACAGGATTGTCTGGTCCTGACTCGATTATTTACAGAGCGCCGTCATATAGCTGGAATACTGCTGAGTGCGGCGTTAAACAACAAACCAACCAACCAAAAACCAAACTCCATCGTGTCAATAATGATGGTACAATTACATCCGTATTTACCTCGCCCTCTTGGGTTTCTTCTTTAAGTCTGGTATCACAGTGATCTGGGTATAGTCGATGCGGAATTTACTGAGCAGCGACGCCATCCTGCAAGAAAGTTTACAGTGAATGCAGTGTTGCAGTGAATGAGTTGGGTTCAACGCCAATTTGAATAGCATTTCCGCTTTATGTCATCGTGTCAGTGGTCGTTTATCACTTTCGACGCCTAGCAGTATGGGTTTAATGCTGACGAACCAAGGATCATCAGCTGAGCGATACTGGGATTCAAACCCACCATGCGGATCCTGGCTTCTACATAAATCAGCCTAAAACCACTGGGTCACTTGTGCCTTAATATATACCACTTTCAATAAACCCACTCCATGCCTGAGCCTTTTCTTATCGGAACTATTTTTAATCATTATTCATGTTATGACCATAAAACCAAGTTTTTAAAATATATTTCGCTTCACCATGCGGGTCATTTCAAACATGCCGGGGTCACACGATTTCTTTTCACGATGATCGATCATGTTTGTTTTGTCAGATTACAAAATCTGGTTTCGATATTATTTCTGTGAATATTTTCTTGGTTTAAACACAAGCGTTATCATTGTTTTCGGTCATGGTTTCTAAGGTAACCTGTCGGGCAGAAGAAAGTATACACCCATGTTTGATGGTGGCTAAAATGAAACAAGGAAGAGATGGCTATTCCATGGTGATGTATTTGATACGGGCTTCAAAGTTGTTTTTTGGCCCTTAAGTTTGCATTGTTTCGGCGACTCTTTTCTGCCGAGTAACATTTTGATAACGTTTGATATGTTTTGGTCAAATCCAATTTTCAAGTGTACACTTGACAACGGTGTAAGGATCTACACCAAAACGTAACCTTTATAGTAAATAAAGAAGTTGTTATCCATAAATTGTGTCTATTTTGTCATCCGTCAAGTTCGAAGTTATGCCTATCAAACAATTCAAGTGTATACTTGTTTGTGCCCGGCAGTTTACAAAATATATTTTTCAGTCTACTGAGAAAAGGGGCGGGGAAGCCTGGCGACCTGGTCACGTTGAAAATAACCTGCTAATGATAAACCTTTCCATGTCCTTATCCGTAGCACAACAATTTGTTCGCCTACCTGCGCTGGTCTTCGTCCATGTTGTCTCGCTTGGTTCCTGCACAGAACACCCGGAGTTTGCACCCCCGCCACTGTTTCCGGGTGGACAGGATCTGAGGCAGGAGCAGGGTGAGGCCTGGGGCGAACATATACGTACGTATGTTTTATGTTTTTATAATTTTCACCGCTATTTTCCCCTTTACACCCAAAGAAAGCTGCGCTCGGTGGATAATCGTGACTTTTATTCTCCGGCGTCGACGTTTTTTTATTCAGTAACGATCCAGAGAGCGCTGTTTCCGAAGGCTTATACGGTAAAATATGTGTGACGTCACTGGCCTTCGTGAATAGCAACGAGGCTGGCATACACATTGCTTTGATTTTTTATGATTTCGTAACACAATATCAGTGTATTTGTTTAAAAAATTGTATATACAAGCATAACGCCTTCGTCCAAATATTTGAAGACCAGGAATTATTCAAATTACCTCCGTCATCAAAGAGCCACCAGACGTCAATAGTCCCGACCTGGCGTCGGCGGAATCTGTTCCCAAGGCGCTCGTCGTCGACAGATATCCCCTTGATGAGCTGGGCACGTTTCCGGTCGTAGGCGCTCTGATCTATCCTTCCATCGGAAATGGACTCGTCCTCCCCGTATGTGAATGCTTTGTTTATTTCTCCGTCTAATTTCTGTGTGAGTTTTTCCAGCGGCATACCGTTAACTCCGTCAACGACAACGGATGGTACTGGTGTGACGTTGGACCTAGGTGTGTGTTTCTCATCATGATCGCTTTCCTCATCATCAGATTTATCTATATGGATTTCTGAAATTAGAACAATTCCTTGAACTTATTCCCCGAAGATTTACGTCAGATGCAATGCAAATAACGTCGATTTACCAGTGGTAATCAGGCGAACGCAGATCTTTTCCGTAAAAGCAATAAATAGATAAATCATTCCGTAAGCAACAATGTAAATGAAGGTCAATGTCACGATACAGACGTTAAACGGGCACCAACCCGTCATAAATGGCCAATGTAGCTCTTCAGGGAATACCTTACATTAATGGAAAAGGTACGATTGTGTATCACCAGTTGTCCCCATGAAATGTCACATTTTACGTATCAGACTAAGTCTGACATACACGAAAACATTTGAACCTAGGACCCACGTGAACTAAAATCAATACACTTTGTCCACGTCATTTCAATAGAAACTATTAAGTACTGTGTTCTGTCCAAACCCACCGTCATCAGAGAGGTCAGGGTTCATCCATTCGCTGATATCTTCGTCCGTGGCAGAGAGAAGTTCGTCGGGAACTTTGTGGATGTCAAACCCTTCCACAGACCGCAGGATCCCCACACCGTAACGCAGGTCACACGCGTCGCTGTAAATATAGTTCAGGGATCATCACACAATATCAAAGGCGGGTTGTAAGCCACGAATCGCTTATAGAGTAAGCAAATTAATCGCTACTTCGGGGTCTACAACAGCTGGAAGTGCTTGCGTCCTCTTCCAAAATGGCGGCGCAACTACCGCTTGGTTGCCTTGCCCTAATGAAGAACGTAATAGAGGAGGCCCGATGACGAACTGATGAAATTTATGACTACTTTGAAGATGTGGAGCAGACTGAGAATGATGGGGTCTTCGCTGCCTTTGCCCATTTCCCAATGTATCCAGTCATGAAATTCATGTTCCGCTGATGAACGCCGCCATTTTGGTTTGAGCACGAAGCGACGTCAGTCAGCGATTGGTGTGATTGCAAACGGCTGAACGTTAGCGCCCAGTTGTAAGGCGAATCGTTGTACGTGGCTTGCAAGCGTTTCGTGCTTTGAAACGCACCCCAGGTTAAATGTAATCACCGAATTACATTATGAAAGGTGACGCAACAAAAACAGCTCAGTGGTAATATATGTCACGCTTATTTCTGACAACAACCTACAATAATCAGGCTTAAAACCATCTGATGTCTCCTCGTAATACGCTGGATAATGAAGATGATAACACACAGATGATAACACGAACGATGTCAACCTACTGTAGAACACAGAAGTAGTTGAAGACCACCCTGGGGTCGTCCACCTGCCAGTCCCCCTTGTACCCGATGATGAGGGTGTTAGGTCGCAACTTGCCCACGCCCGATGTCTGGAAATGCAATGTTTGAAATCACAAAATACATACATACAATGTTTTATTGTTTGTTTGTTTGTTATTTAACATCGCCATCAGCAATATTCTACGTATATGACGGTGGTCTGTAAATAACTGAGTCTCGACCATACAATCCAGTGATTGAAATCATAAGAATCGATCTACGCATTTGGGATTCGATAACATGCATCAACCAAGTCAGAAAGCCTGACTACTCGATCCCGTTAGTCGCCGCTACAGGCTGACGTCGTTATGTTTCTGAACACATCTTACTCTTACGACAAGCATGTTTTGCTGAAGGCCAGTTCTAACCAGGTCCTTCACGTGCATATGCGGGTGGTGATTTTTGTGTATCTTTAGGTAGTAACCGAATCGGCTGAGCCATACGATTGTGAGGTCACGATCAGTGTCGAGCGGCAACGTATGGGGTTTATAGAGGTAACGTGAAAACCGGTGTGCCCACTGTAAATGCGAGTAGCTTATGAATAAAAACGTCAACAATGATAACTTCCGATTATTTAATAACTTCCGTTTATTTAATCATTAACACACAAGAAATCTATATAAAAATCAGTGCCATCGTTCAGGACACTCATGCAACATAAGTCCCGCCCATTCTCCTATCAGCCAACCAGGAATAAAATCAGATCTAAGTTCTCGCTGCCGCTAAACAAAGATCTGAGTACATCCCATTACTGGTCACGTCAGGACGACCTTTCGCGAACTGACTGAAATGACCAACAAGAAGTCGACATCAGCCAATTAGAAAGCAGCTTTCTTGAGCTTTACGGCACTCGTTTCAAACTGCTGAATTCCATTTCTGTCTACGCTTGAAAAATATATTGGCACAGTTCTCGATTAATATTTTGAAAACTGAACAAACGAACATTCCGGAATGTCTAATATATGGTTGAGAGTGTATGACAGTGCTTCCTACGTACTGTAACTGTCGTTCGGAATACCCTGTGCTAACCTTTCCGAGGTTGCATGATTAGAAAATACATTCCGACTGTCACTTTCATGACCTGGTAAGCGACGCTTTGATTGGTCGGATGAAAGGTCGTTCTGACGTGACCCGTAATGGGATGTCCTCAGATGTTTAGCGATAGCGAGAACTAAGATCTGATTTTAATGAGATTGTGCGTTAGTGTAATTGTTTTTAGGTTATGGATATAGACAATATATATGCAAATGAATATTAACCTGGTCCCATTAGTTAAACCGGACGAGTTCACCGGGAACGGGACGTCCTGATTAACGAGGGTCCACTCTGTTTAAATGTACGAATGAACGACAGTAGGGATACCGCATTTTATGTTGCACCCTTTGAATGAAGGACAAAGTACCTGTAATATAGCCTGGATGCCGATCCTCAGATTGGGGGCGGCGATGTTTGTGTAGAAAGCCCGGAGGTTTCTGTTGTTGAACCACTTGTAAGCTGCCGTTGATCGTATGTGGGTCACGTGATCAGATAAATCACCCTGATAAAGAAATAACGATATCCGTAAAACCTTAATTTCACATCTTCACATCGTAAAGAATTTATCAACTTTGCAATATGTCACAAATTACACATAATTCATAATAATATAAATGTATTGGTCAAAGACAGTGTCATTGTAGTATACCTGTATCAATGACTACTTTTTAGTCTCCATTTTAGAGTAGAACAGCAACTTAATCTTAAAACCGGAACCATATTACACATATTACATATTACTTGAATACTGGTGAATAAACTGAAAACACATAAATATCTTGACATATGGAGTGAGAGAGATTAACGCCGTTTTGAAAAAAAAATTCAGTGATGGATTGTCTGTTTGGTTTTGGAGAAAAATATAAAAAACGCAGGTCTTACAAAATGATTTGTTTGTTTGTTTGTTTGTTTGTTTGTTTGTTTGGTGTTTAACGCCGCACTCAGCAATATTCCAGCTATATGACAGCGGTCTGTAAGTAATCGAGTCTGGACCAGACAATCCAGTGATTGACAACATGAACATCGATCCACGCAATTTGCATCGATGACATGCATCAACCAAGTCAGCGAGCCTGACCACCCGATCCCGTTAGTCGCCTCTTAGGACAAGCATAGACGACATTTACGGCAAGAATGGGTTGCTGAAGATCTATTCTACCCCGGATCTTCACTGGCCTCTTACAAGATGAAGACGCGCTGACAAGCCAATGATCTTCATCAGGAAAACATTTTCAACCAAATGAGCGGATCCTGGCGTGGGAAAGGGACGCAAATCGCGGCGTTTTAGCCCACTGAATCACCCGTGCCATATTTGACCGATGGAATGAAATTTCAGCTTCTTTCTGGCCCGAACACCTTTAAAAAGCCAACTTGGGTGTCCTTTACATGAACCCCATCAGATTTATTTTTTAGCTAGTGTTGGTATATGTAATCCTAGACACGGGTCAGCACTGACCAGCAGCACGTGCGCACAGACGAGGAGGGACTGTTTCTGTGTGAGGGTGGACACGAAGTCGACCAGGGCTGGCCTGTTCCTGGGATAACCACTGAGAACCAGTATCTGAGGGCTGAAGTAAAGGTATGTGTTAGACATAGAGGATATAATATGGCAGTTTCCACATGTGTATATCACACCCCTTACCAACCCTCGATCCCATATCTGATATTGGGGTCTCGGGTTGATATAAGGTGTGATATGCAATATAATAACCCTTTTACCATATAACATAACATCAAGTTGTAAAATGTATCTATGTGCAAGTGAATGCAATACATTTTCATTAGGGCTGGGACGAGTCCAAATTTACTACCCGGGGACCCACCCCATTATTACCCGACCCTATCCCGGTACCCGCTGTAGGTCTCATGAGATAGGTACAATGTCCGGTTGGGAATAGTTTGACCCTAGCCCTGGCAAAATATATTTAGATGCTCATAGAAAACGATCTGGTTGTGCATACATTGAAGTTGACTGAAGTTTTATCTCTATTTAAACATATAAAGTCGGAAGGAATGGGTGCACAGTCAGAATGAAATTCGAGAATTAGTCACTTATAGTGTTACCGTGTGTTTAACTTACCGAAAGTTTTTAACATGTTCATCCGTATCAGCTAGTTTAAGTGTGCCTTGTAATGCGTCCTTGTACGCATGCGCCTGGGTGGAAGAACCCCAGTTTACATCTGTAATAAAGAAGGGTAGTACACCGTGAGAGGGGTGAGACTAGACACAAGCCGCTATCAGAACTAGGGCGGTCGGGTAGCCTAGTGGTTAAAGCGTTCGCTCGTCACGCCGAAGACCTGGGTTCGAATCCCGACATGGGTACAATGTGTGAAGCCCATTTCTGGTGTCCCCCGCCGTGATATTGCTGGAATATTTCTAAAAAGCAGCGTAAAACCAAACTCACTCACTCACTCATTATCAGAACTAGTTGTAGTGGAGGACGGGTGGCCCAGTCGTCTAAAGCGCCACACCTTGCCGGAAACTTATTATCGTGGGCTCGAATCCCCGTTCGCCCCGATTATGTTTATAGGTTTGTCAGCACCATGCCCGTGGCCATGGGTTTCATCAAGAGGTAAACGTCTGAGAAATGCTTCACTTCGGGTTTTAATCCCACATCAAGCAGACACTCCGTGATAAAACTGGAATTCTAAACCACACTTACATCAACCACATGCTTGCACGGTCCGATTATTTCTAGGGTGATGTGGTATAGCTCGGAGGCGGTCGGGTAGCCTAGTGGTTAAAGCGTTCTCTCGTCACACCGAAGACCCGGGTTCGATTCCCGACATGGGTACAATGTCTGAAGCCCATTTCTTGTGTCCCTCGCCGTGATATTGCTGGAATATTGCTAAAAGCGGCGTAAAACCATACTCACTCACTCACTCACTCACTGGTTTAGCTCGACTATTGCCGACTACAGTCAGCATTCATTCACTCACTCACCCACTAGTGTGATAATACGTCACCTGGTTTTCTGTGCTTGAGAAACAGGTACAGCGCCGTGATGACGACGAATGTAACGAGGGCTGCCCACCAGTTGATGAGGAACATGACTGCCAGACAGAGCAGGGCTCCCAGGAGGCTGACCCACTTGTTGTACAGCTTGTAGGCGGGCCGGAACCCTGGGAAGACATGAGAGCATCAGTACGGATGAAAACAAGCGACTTCCGGATAAATGAAGTAAACTCGCCTTGTAATTCAAAGGTTTAAATGAAATAAATGAGTGGCATATAAATACTTCTCAAGACAAGTGATATCGTGGCATTGTTTTGCGTTTATGTTGACAATTGGCGGGGCTTGTATCGCATTATTGCACTGCATGAGTAAAGTGGGGTTTAGCGTCGCGTTCAAATTTATTGCACTTATATAGTGACGTGCATGCAGTGTGAGTTGGCGAACGAGGCATCGGAACAGGAGAAGTCGATATAACTTACCAGGGGAGTTGGCAAACGAGGCATCGGAACAGGAGAAGTTACCAGGGGAGTAAGAGAACGGGGCATCGAAACAGGAGAAGTTACCAGGGGAGTAAGAGAACGGGGCATCGAAACAGGAGAAGTTACCAGGGGAGTAAGAGAACGGGGCATCGAAACAGGAAAAGTTACCAGGGGAGTTGGCGAACGAGGCATCGAAACAGGAGAAGTTACCAGGGGAGTAAGCGAACGGGGCATCGAAACAGGAGAAGTCGATATAACTTACCAGGGGAGTTGGCAAACGAGGCATCGGAACAGGAGAAGTTACCAGGGTAGTAAGAGAACGGGGCATCGAAACAGGAGAAGTTACCAGGGGAGTAAGAGAACGGGGCATCGAAACAGGAGAAGTTACCAGGGGAGTTAGCGAACGAGGCAACGGAACAGGAGAAGGTACCAGGGGAGTTAGCGAACGAGGCAACGGAACAGGAGAAGGTACCAGGGGAGTTAGCGAACGAGGCATCGGAACAGGAGAAGGTACCAGGGGAGTTAGCGAACGAGGCAACGGAACAGGAGAAGGTACCAGGGGAGTTAGCGAACGAGGCATCGGAACAGGAGAAGTAACCAGGGGAGTAAGAGAACGGGGCATCGAAACAGGAGAAGTCGATATAACTTACCAGGGGAGTTGGCGAACGAGGCAACGGAACAGGAGAAGTTACCAGGGGAGTAAGAGAACGGGGCATCGAAACAGGAGAAGTCGATATAACTTACCAGGGGAGTTGGCGAACGAGGCAACGGAACAGGAAAAGTTACCAGGGGAGTTGGCGAACGAGGCATCGAAACAGGAGAAGTTACCAGGGGAGTAAGAGAACGGGGCATCGAGACAGGAGAAGTTACCAGGGGAGTTGGCGAACGAGGCAACGGAACAGGAGAAGGTACCAGGGGAGTTGGCGAACGAGGCATCGAAACAGGAGAAGTTACCAGGGGAGTTGGCAAACGAGGCATCGAAACAGGAGAAGTTACCAGGGGAGTAAGAGAACGGGGCATCGAAACAGGAGAAGTCGATATAACTTACCAGGGGAGTTGGCGAACGAGGCATCGAAACAGGAGAAGTTACCAGGGGAGTTAGCGAACGAGGCAACGGAACAGGAGAAGGTACCAGGGGAGTTGGCGAACGAGGCATCGAACCAGGAGAAGTTACCAGGGGAGTTAGCGAACGAGGCATCGGAACAGGAGAAGTAACCAGGGGAGTAAGAGAACGGGGCATCGAAACAGGAGAAGTCGATATAACTTACCAGGGGAGTTGGCGAACGAGGCAACGGAACAGGAGAAGTTACCAGGGGAGTAAGAGAACGGGGCATCGAAACAGGAGAAGTCGATATAACTTACCAGGGGAGTTGGCGAACGAGGCAACGGAACAGGAAAAGTTACCAGGGGAGTTGGCGAACGAGGCATCGAAACAGGAGAAGTTACCAGGGGAGTAAGAGAACGGGGCATCGAGACAGGAGAAGTTACCAGGGGAGTTGGCGAACGAGGCAACGGAACAGGAGAAGGTACCAGGGGAGTTGGCGAACGAGGCATCGAAACAGGAGAAGTTACCAGGGGAGTTGGCAAACGAGGCATCGAAACAGGAGAAGTTACCAGGGGAGTAAGAGAACGGGGCATCGAAACAGGAGAAGTCGATATAACTTACCAGGGGAGTTGGCGAACGAGGCATCGAAACAGGAGAAGTTACCAGGGGAGTTAGCGAACGAGGCAACGGAACAGGAGAAGGTACCAGGGGAGTTGGCGAACGAGGCATCGAACCAGGAGAAGTTACCAGGGGAGTTAGCGAACGAGGCATCAAAACAGGAGAAGTTACCAGGGAAGTTAGCGAACGAGGCATCGAAACAGGAGAAGTTACCAGGGGAGTTAGCGAACGAGGCATCGAAACAGGAGAAGTTACCAGGGGAGTTAGCGAACGAGGCATCGAAACAGGAGAAGTTATCAGGGGAGTTGGCGAACGAGGCAACGGAACAGGAGAAGTCGATATAACTTACCAGGGGAGTTGGCGAACGAGGCATCGAAACAGGAGAAGTTGATGAGCGCATACGCCATGAGGAAGAAGTTGGAAATAATAGGAGCAATGATGTCCAGGGCGCCTGAAACATACAAGCGGCATTTGAACCAGGGACTTAACGGTTCACCCGTTTCAGTGCATCGCGACATTTCAGTTCGGATACCGGGTTAACTCCGAACCCAGTAACCGACGTTTGTCGTAAAAGTCGACTAAAATTAATAGGCCGGTGAGGCTCGATGAGTTGACTTATTGCATCGATACGAGGTCACGTGATGGATATAAACTACAGTGTACTATTTCTGCCTTTTTTTAACCAAATATGATATAGTTTCGTGTTTCCATGCATCGTAATGAGACCAAAAGTATCGTTACTCTTCCCTATTGGTAAATATCCAAACGTGACTTGGCAGGATGGTTGGAATAAAGTGAGTTTCATGTTACAATTTGTAAAATAATTCATCGTTAATACTATTCTCTTACACTCCTTTAACAACGCTCAATGTAAAGTTTACTTACCGACGCATGTCATTGCTACACATATACCAAAGGTCAAGAAGTAGCCTCGCTTTGGTTCTCCAGATTTGCCGAAACCTTTGGCAAAATAACCAATGAATGGAAACAAACCATCTTTGCCCAGCGCCTGGAAGAGCAGTGTGGATACATTTAACAACGAACGTCAGATCGATCTAACTCCTATCTATAGAGGCAAAATCAGACTTCAAATTCTTTTCAACTTTCTTATTAGAGTTTTACGTGATATATGATATTATACCTCCTCCAAAATTAAATTTATTACACTTGTCCGTGTGAAGATGTCGGGCGTTTCATAAAAGTTAGAGAAACCCTGACATGATTTAATCTGGATTCAAACGTGTGACAACGTGCTTAGTAAAGCTTGTGAAAGAATGAGGCAAAGAGGTTCAAAATAATATGTGGCGGTAAGAAACCCTTAAAAGTCAAGACGGAATATTGGGACAAATGGTATTGAAGATTCTGAGTGAGTTTTATTTTACGCCGCTTTTAGCAATATCACGGCGGGGGACAAGAAATGGGCTTCACACATTGCACCCATGTGGGGAATCGAACCCTTGCCTTCGGCGTGACGAGCGAACACTTTAACCACTAGGCCACCCCACCGCTCCTTGAAGAATCTGAATTTGCGTGATTTGTTTTAGATTTCTTCAGTTTATAGTGTATGACAAACATAAACACCAAAAGACACCGTTACTAATGTATTAAGAATCGGTTTCTTATAATGTCAAGACCAAAAGTTTTTTAAATAAGAGCTAGGGACCTGTTTCATAAAACGATCGTAACACGACGACTGTCGTTTAACATAACCTTACAACAGTGTAGTAGTTAGAAGGACCGGGGAGGCTACATATCATGTGGTCTGTCTGAATACCATAAAGTTTCAAAACCAAACTGTCCTATCTCGTCACAAACGAAATGGATAAGGACCAGGACCACGTTCCACAAAATGATAATGGCGCTAAGATGCTTAGACGATCTTAACTCCCCATCTTCCCGAGGCAAGGGAGTTAACTGACTGTTAAAATCAAGTTTCCATCCTTGCCGAAATTGGCTGGAATTTCTGGGTTCGATCGTAGCGCCACCAGTGGCTGTACGAGTTATGTCCCCTCTATAGACCAATTCGATTCCACCTCTCATATCATTTGTTTCAAATTTATAATTGCATTTACTTCAAACAAAATGGCGGATCGATAATCCAAATCTATATTGTGATGAAAAGTGCATCAAATCGCATGAACACCTGGAAATTAAAAACATGAAAAAGTTTTGAAAATATCTGATGACGCCGAGTTGGCGGTACACATGCTTTGCAAGTCCTGCAACCGACCGAAATCTGCACGGCAGTGTACGAACTTGATGTCGATATCGTTTGTGACGGGGTTTTGATTGGACTATGCATAGCCTCGTTAGTCCAACCAAAATATCACTACATAATTGCAGCCTTGTTCGACAAGGGTGGAAACTGGACCTTTCTAGTCAGTAAACTTCCTTGCCCCAGGGAGATGGTAACGCCCATACTTTAACATAGACGTACGACTGTCATAACGCTACGATCGCTTTGTAGCACTGGGCCCTGATCTCAATGTAAACTGAAGCGAATAACGGTCCAGGTTCTTAAAGGAAGAAAAAGTGTATGTCTAGACTTAATGTACCAGTGACGTTGGCGAGACCCACCTGGAAGACTTTAGGGGCACTGACGATGCTTGCCAGCGCCGATGACAGGGTTGCGGAGAAGATCCCGGCCAGGATTAGTGGCTTGAAGGCAGATGCGACGCCTACTGCCTGGCAGGGAGAAAACAGAGCACATGAGAGGGTATCAAGCTTGATATGTTCATCTGCACACAATACATGTAATTGTCCGGGAGGTGAGATCTCCAGTCAGCAGCTAATGGGTACCCGGTAGGAGGAGATGATATCGTGAAGGAGTGAGTGAGTGAGTATGGTTTAACGCCGCTTTTAGCAATATTCCAGCAATATCACGGCGGGGGACACCAGAAATGGGCTTCACACATTGTACCCATGTCGGGAATCGAACCCGGGTCTTTGTCGTGACGAGCGAAGGCTTTAACCACTAGGCTACCCGACCGCCCCTTATCGTGAAGGAGTCACCACAGAGAGTTCAGATTGCACTGATACACTGGCCAGTGTTATAATGCCATGCGATTTACGAGTGGTCTGACCCATGAAGATCCGGGTTAGAATTGGTCTTCAGTAACCCATGCTTGTCGTAAGAGCCGACTTAAGGGATCGAGAGGTCAGCTTCGCTGACATGGTTGACGCATGTCAACGTATCCCAATTGCTTAGATCGATGCTCACTGAATTGTCGTGTCCAGACAATTATAAACAGACCGCCATCAAAATCACTGCGGGACCTCCAAAACCACGTCCTCATGATGTAATATTCATATACAGTAGTGCTTAGTGCAGTTTCCTTCGATGCGTTGTCATCGTTACTGAATACAATTTATCCAAAGATTAGTGTTGGTAGAATACAGGTCCCGACACCTTGTCATACCCCGTTGTCGTTTTGAAGTCCATATTGGCACGTAGTGTTTGCACACTGAGTGACGTTGACGATGCTGAGAGCAACTTCGCTGATGTTGCCGGATGCCGCTTCAAGAACGGAGAAGCCAACCGCATCCCTGAGGAGGCAGCTGCCACACGCCCACGCAATCCCGAGGTAGATGATGGTTGTCAGAAATATAGCCATGAAGGTACCGCGGGGGATTGCAGATGAGGGGTCCTGTACGGGTGTGCAATGCGCATTTAAGAAATAGTAAATATATAGGCACCATCTGTTGTCTTTTATAAAGTCTTGTTTAAGTCACATCCTAACAAAATTGTTTTAATAACAAGAACTATTGCCGGAGTGCCTATTGACAATTTTACCCTTTCATATGAAAATCATTTTCTAAACTTATCACATAAAATGTTAAGTGACCCACAAGACATATTAAGTAACCCTATATCTTCTGGTTGACGGTACCTTTTGCCACGTTTTAGAACAAATAGAGCTCTTAGATCTTTTATCCCGACTAAATTTAGCATTCGTCTTGCTATTTAATCTTAACCCCTTTTCGGGTAATGAAGTACATTACATTGTCAGTCCAGACACGTCACTGGGTACCATACCGCCCGGATAACAGGATGTCACGATACATGCATACTGTAATTCTATATACAGAAGACAATTTGTAGCTCACCTTCAGGTCCCCTGATATGTTGGCCCCTGCCAGAATCCCAGTAGCGGCGGGGAAGAAGATTGCGAATACTTGAAAGAAACTCGTCCCACGGAAATCAGGCCCAAAGTTCTCCACCAATAACTCGCCTACAAAGGAACAAAGTGTCCACACCTACTAAGACGGATGGTATGGTTAAAAGACTCGCAATTAAATATTTTAATAGAGAGACGTTTGATAGCTTAAAATTGCATGTGATGAATAAGATAAAAATGCCATCAGGTTCAACTGACCTCACAGACAATTCGACAAAACTGAAGTTAACAAGAAGTTAGCATCACAATCAAATGTTCACCATCCTCGCTTGCTCGCATATCGGTACACCTACAAAAAGCCGCCCTCCTTTTCATTAGCCAATTTGATTTGCTACCCAACTCTAACGGACCAATCACAATGCGAGTTCAAACCAGCCTCAATGTTGGGTTGGCCATGTCAACAACATGGCGGCAGTCCCCGTAATTATGATAGAGCTTGCGAGAAATCCAACATTAAAAAACTGACTGACGCGCAAATGAAAGCCCTCAGAAGTCTGTCTGATAGATGACGCCTTCATGTCCTTTAGAACTGGTGGTGGCAAGTACTCCCTTACCCATTTCCATGGTCAGTAAAATGTTAATGGAAATCAAGGGCGGGTAATTTGAAATCGGGAAAGGATCAAGGGGTTTGTGTAGGTTTCCTGAAATGCGAGCCCTCAGCCCTGGAGTTACAGGGGATGCGGGGTCACTAGGCTTAAGTTACCCGAGTAGCCAACGAAGCCATTGGCCTGTCTTTCTGGTGTGGCGGGGAGGAAGGTGCCCACGAAGAAGTTGACTATGGCTGCCATCAGCACCACCAGCAGCACCAGCTGAGCCTGTGGGAGAAGAACACCCCAGTACACGTAATCAATCGGATCCACCCTGTTAATGCCTCTACATACAACATACCTGGACAAAAATAAATAGTTGGTGAATCAATACTAATAAATTAAAAACAACGCCCTTTTATGTTTCACAAAATTGTCCTCCTTTAACTTTGAAAGCGTGACGGTTTGACAAGGTTGTGTGTCTGTAGTTTCCGTACCTTAGATTCAAAGTCTAGCCCAATCAGCACGATGCCCAGGATGAGGAACGACGTGGCGACGCCGATGATGCGAACCTCGTTGAGGGGGTCCCCTGTTATGTACGTTCCATGCTCCTGCAAGAAGTCATTGGGTGAAACGTCCGTCAACACATTGAGTCCATTCAGTCAAATGTACCTACAAGTCTCCTTCACATACATTCACGACAGGAATATACAGAAACAGCTACTATCATTTTGCATTTGGAAATACAGGTGGCGTTGTGTCCCGTTGTGTACAAAAATTCTTTAATAGTGAGTTCAATTCCAGATTTACCCTAATTATGCTCATAGGTTTCCACAAAGTGGTAAAAATGTAAGATCTGAAACAATTAGGTTTGCTTCACACACTAAGCTGATGTGCCGTGCTAAAACTGAAATAATCACGTTAATAAAGTGACGTTTAACCAAACCCACTAGCTCACCACAAATTCACACAACAACTCACCCACATCAAGTCGCGCACAGTTTCAGCGAACCCCACCACGTACATGGCGGCGGCCACAGCGTTAGCCAGAGAGAAGACAATCCCAATTGCTCCCCCGAACTCGGGGCCCAGGCTGCGGGATATCATGTAGTAAGCGCCCCCTGGGAAACGGCAAACAAATATATCCAAGTCTGATATATATCACAGGACATGAGGCATGCTTTATAACGCCCTGCATAGAAAGGTTTGTCAATACTGGCGGTTTCTCAAACCTCTGTTTGTCTCACTGAGATGATGTTCGATATGTACATTTGAAAATAACACAATACAAACAATTACATTAAACAAAGTGTTAGATATCACAACCAGGATAATGCCTTTTAAACCGCCTGTCGGCTATTACTAGTATGTTGCAACTAGCCAGGCCACAACATTGGCATATTGGTGACTTACCTCCCTTGACCTCTCCATTGGTACAGATGGCGGCCATGGACATGGTGGTGATTGAGGTGACGAATGCTGACAGCAGGATGATGACGGACGCCAGCCCGATCCCTGATCTCCCCGTGATCCACGTGAGGCGCAGGAACAACATCACCCCGAAGATGTTCAGCAGGCACCTCACCTACAGCAACACAGGCTGTCAATACTTGCATACGGTAGCTACGTACTCAAACTGACTTTGACTTGCCTTTGTATGTGTTTGTAATGGGTGCTACCTTTGGGCCAGTATGCCCTCTCCTTTTGGGCGAACACCTGGTATCATCTCTGTTTGATAGTGATTCATAAACATATGTTATAGTCAGAATCGTACGATAGGTACTGCTTTAAGAAGAAATTTCTTATGAGTTTGAAAGGTTCAGTGTAAACAACATTGGGTGCTATCCGGTTACAGTACGTTTTACGACGATGTGAGCAACTGTCCAGCCATATCACGCCGGATGAGAACATAAATTGTATTCGTGACCAACTCGTGTCGTTCCGGGACAAGCCGAATGGCGATCTTGTAGCTATATAGGTTACGTAAACATCGAGTGGTAACGAATGCAAAATTGGGTATTGTACCTTGTAATCTCGCGGATCCAGAACGACTGGAAGGAAAGCTATACTGAAGATATTTCACGACAAGATTGTATTTAAAGTTATTCCTCATATATATACGTACAGAAATTGAATAGTGTTGACTTTAATGGTCATTAAAGTTTGTGAAACTCGCGTTGACTGTACAACGCAGCATAATATTCCCCTTCAGATACTGATCTTCACGGGTGCCTTGCGTCTTTGTATTCGTGGCTACTGTTACAGATTCAGATCGCAATGTGCTTGACGTTGCCCTTTAAAAGTTGCTATGTCAAACCAAATATCATTTACGTTTACCAGTGCTAATATTGTCGCACACGGTCATCTGACCACATTATTCAGGGCGTGTCCTTCTTACATACCAAAACCCCCTGGATCCATCCTAACTTTGCGGCTAGGCGTGGCTTGACCTCTGCCTTCTTCCTGGTACCCCCCGAGTCGTCCTCATCACTGTCAGGGAGGTCCTCGCCCAAGGGAATGGGGGACTGGAAGTAGAATTCATTGGAGTATCTTAACGCATTTGTGAAGCCTTTTGGCGATTGAAAAGAATATTCAATAGTTGTAAATTAGATGATGTTCAATGCCAGTAAGCAATAGTCGAGGCGTGTAAAATTCGACTTTTACAGGCAGACCAGTGATTGACTGCGTGAACAAACTTACACCCGTCGGGCGCAATATGATAACACACAGCTCAGTTGTTAATCATGGGCAGCGTCTATCTATATCAGTGAGTGAGTGAGTTGGGTTTAACGCCGCTTTTTACAGTATTCCAGTCATATCACGGCGTGTCAGCTTAATGTGGGAGGAAAGCCCGAAGTGATGCAGGTCTCAGACGTTTACCACTTCGGACGCAACTCTGCAAAGCGAATCGCGGCGCCTTAGACGACTGGGCCACCCGTGCCCCCCCCCCTATCTTTATCAAACGGGGCGCCCTTTAGAAAGCTCGTAGACTCACTATATGTGAGCGAACCCGGGCTTTTCATGCCTCCCACGGTACCAGTACCTTCTTATAAAGAATTGCTTTTTTCGGTATCATTTCAAACATGATGGCGGTCATGTGGCTGCAAATTCATTTCTGGTCCTAGTCTTCATCAAATCAATCTATTTTCACTCAACATTACCCAGACACACTTACTTTTTGTGTGTTGCAGGACTGAGTGATGGTTAAATAGACATAATCACATTTAACAACAGTTATTTCAATATTCAATTACATTTTAAAAAATCGGTATACTTTCTTTTGCTCCTCAGTTAAGTTTTATTTGCCCCCACTCTGTCGTTGGTGGATTTGAAAAATCGATGTCGATAACTTGTGGATGAGGGTTGGAATTAATTACAAGTAAGGTAAAAGTAAATATTCTGATCTCGCTCTTATAGTCGCCTGAGGTAGCTTTATGAGTGTACTTCAACAATGACGGAGGAGAGTCGTAGAGCTTAGGCTGTTTTGGGGAACGGGTCCCTTGCTCCAACACAGCTTACCCGTCTAAATGGGTTCAGTTTGGTGCAGTTGTACGGGTTTAACAGGTTGTTTGTTTTGCGGCAGCCGGTAATTTACTCTCTCTATCAAAGTTCTTAATTCAACAAGTGAAGTGGTGTGTCAGGAATTACGAACAGCAAATACCGTAGAGAAATTTCCTTCGCTTCAAAAGTTAGTGAGTGAGTTGGGTTTAACGCCGCTTTTAACAGTATTCCAGTTATATCGCGGCGTGTCAGCTTAATGTGAGAGGAAATCCCGAAGTGATGCAGGTCTCAGACGTTTACCACTTCGGTGATACCCACGAGCACGGGTATGGTGCTGACAAACCTAGAAACATAATCGGGGCGAACCAGGATTCGAACCCACAATCATAGGTTTCTGGCGTGCCCAAGGGACGCAGCAGCGAATCGCGGCGCCTTGGACGACTGGGCCACCCGTGCCCCCTCGCTTCAAAAGGGCATGTCAGGAAAATATTCCACGAGATATATTGACTTGTGCAACAGGTAGACATCTTTGTTAAACCATATAATCAATTGATCACAATATGCAATTGTTTGCCATTTAAATTTCTTAAGAGAAAAAATATGAAATGACGACGAGTTTGCTGATTCCTGTAAATGCACCGTTTGAATATTTTTTTTAATTATTTTATCAACCAGGTTTTACAAAAAGATAAAGGGTTATGTCTTGAATTCGCGTCATGAGATGCCAACGAGAGAAAGGACTATCCACACATAATTAGAATTCAGAATAAGGAGCTACCCCAGTGAAGTTATAGGTCCATACAGGCCAAAATGCTAGATTTTACAAACACTGTTATGCAGTTATTTTGATCAAACATCTTCAATCTGAACATATACACTATAGCAGCAGCACCTAAGTTCTAAAGTCTTGCTCATCCATCAATATGTTTTTTTTCTGGTGTAGGAAATCTCTACCGAAACGGCTTCCCTTGAACTTGAACGTGCGTGAGGGAGAGTTTTGATGGCGCCAGACAGGGCTTAACACTAGAACCGGTTTGTCGTTGTCATGGCTTTATTATTTCACTCCCTGGAAGCTGGAGGTATTCTGGTTGCACGCAAATGTAGGGCACGCAGGGTCATCACACACCGCGGCAGGTTCCCATCGGTACAAAGGTATATTATTCATATATGTATGAGTCGCGGACCAACCTCAAACATCTGTGTTAATTTATTCTTTTTGTATTATTATTATTATTATTATTATTATTATTATTTATCAAAATGGTTAAACAGTACATTTTGAATAATTTAGTTTCATTAAAGTGTCGGGTTACAAATAACATTCCCAACGATCGTGTGTATTGCAAAACAAAGTGTTGTTTGTTGAGTTGAATTAACTTAACAAAATTATTGACTTAACAAAACAACTTAACTTAACACAAGCATAACATTCTAGTTGGTAAATAGGTATTAACGCCACTTTCTGTCAGCGTAATGTTCCAGGTAAACTTTAGGGAAACATGTGAGAGCAAAGGTGTTGGTGCTGACAGACCCAGCACCATAATCTGACCGAATCTGAGATTCCATTCCACAATCAGCGGATACTGGCACCGGTAAAGGACGCGTAGCTGCATAGTGTATCGTGGCGCATCCGTCGTTTTATAACAACCTATTCGACGCTGGGGGGATCAACAAACAAATGTCATTTGAGGTCAAATAAAATCTCTAAAAATGAGTGAGTATAGTTTTACACCGCTTTTGACAATATTTAAGCAATATCACACGGGGTACACCAGAACTTAATTTCACACATTGTAACGTGTAGGGAAAGGAACCCGGAAACCATGACGAACGCGTTACCCTCTAGGCCACCCTCATTTTCAATATTATGTTCTCTTAATCAAATCATACCTGTTCTTCTCGAAGTTGTTGGAGTGTCGGTCGTTGCCGGAAGTTGTCGAACGCGTTCGTGACATTCTTGTAATGATCCGCATGCGGAAGAACTTCGAATGGATCCCTGAACGTCCTGTCGGACTGGAAACTACCCCTGCTGGCCTGGCTGTACATGGAAAACACCGACATTCTCGGTGACATTAGGTAGTTGTTGTCGGGACCGTTCGGGAACGCTCTGTCATGGGGAGCAGAGAGGTAATTTGAAGGCATGGAGATAATCTCAGGCTGTTCATCGATCAGCACCGTGGAACCTTTCCGACTCGGGACGATAGAATGCGCTTGCAAACTTTGGTCCGACCCTTGTGAATATACCGAAATTTTTCTTTGATTTGTACGCCCTGCACGTGTGTGTCTCTCATAGGTTTGATGAACGGGGTTACGTTCATGGCCTGCATGTTGGTCCTTGGTGTCGTTGTCCTTGACAACATCCCTCTCCTCGTCCTCGTCCTCGTCCTCCTCAACGTCCCCAGCGTCTGAATCCGGCGCCGTGATGTTAATGGTAACTGAATGTTCTCCCGGTCCTCCTGTATTGGGTAACTTCGGGACATTTACATAGTCATGGTCTTCATTGTTGTCATTCTCGCCATTCTTCAAAGACAGGAGCACTGTTGCATCCATCTCTACGTGCCCCTTCCTCCGTGTCGGACTTGAAGGAGAGGATGGTGCTGGTATAGTTGTCCCAGAGTTGGCCATGTCTGTTTCACAGTCCTTTTCTCGACTTGCATCATGGCTTAAGTTTAAAACCGTCCTACACAATCCCCCTTTCTCCAGCGCCATGGCCCAAGGTAATTAACCAAGGTACAAACTCTATTTCAACAGGATAAAGCCAAGGTGGTACCTTGCACATCAACAGCATGAACGACAAGCCTATTGTTTCGTAGTCTTGTAATTATGCCCCCAGCATCTCGAGTGACAGCCAGGCTCACTTATATAGCCCTCTTGACGTCACGGCTACATGCATGGGAATCTCATGGGTGTTCCTATCTCCTAAGGGTGATAAAAATCGCCATTAAGATTCGTTGAATAATTATCTCCATATGCAAAGCAGTGGACTGTTCTAACGTAAGCAATGCCTCCTTACGTATTTAGATGTGGATATAATTCGCAAGGCAGAGTTGGGGACGGCGTCGCTAATTCACTCCTTGTGTACGGAGATCATTAATTTCTTACGTGTCACACACGCTTTTTCATCGTGACATATCTAGAACACCAGAGAAGCCTGTGGTCCCGCATGAATCACATACAGGGATCTATGCATACATGTCTGCTGTTATTCAACAAGTGTAGGGAGGTTATAAACTCCCGGGCTAAAGAAAGTATACACCCATGTTTGATGGTGACTGAGAATGAAACAAACAAGAAATGGTTATTCAGTGGTGATGTATTTACGGGTATCATTGTTGTGGTTTGGACCTTCAGTTTAAGTGCTTCTGTGACTGTTTTCAGCCTTGTAATATTTTGATAACGTTTGTAAATGTTTGGGCAGATCCAATTTTCAAGTTTATATCTTCTTTTGCCCTGCAGTTTACAAACAACGGCTCCTTTGTCTTTTTCCTGTATATAACTAAATTGACAGACCTTTTTGTATTAATTACAAAGTACTTGATGAATTGTTTGATAGGCATTACTTAGAAGTTGACGGATGACAAAGTAGACACAATTTATGGATAACAACTTCTTTAATACTGTAGAAAGCAACGTTTCGGTATAGATCCTTACGCCGTTGTCAAGCAAGACTGGTGGATAACGATGTAAGGATCTGTACCGAAACGTCGCTTTTTACAGTATTAAAGAAGTTGTTATCCATAATAAATTGTGTCTACTTTGTCAAGGTACCTGATGAAAAAGAGTCTTCTGTCACGGCTTCATGGAAGAGGTGAAGTGAAAAAGGGGTTAACGTGGCATTCAAGATTATTGCACTTATAAAGCAACGTGTGTGTGTGTGTGTGTGTGTGTGTGTGTGTGTGTGTGTGTGTGTGTGTGTGTGTGTGTGTGTGTGTGTGTGTGTGTGTGTGTGTGTGTGCGTGCGTGTGTGCGTGCGAGTGTGTGTCCTTGCTTTAGTCCCTTAATTCCGAGCGCCAGGCAGGGTAACAACAAGTACCATCTTTTAACGTCTTTTGGTATGCCGATCGAACCATGTACCCTCCGCTATCCGGGAGGACGCTCTACCACTATACCACGGAGGCGGTCCTTTATGGAAGGTGGTGAGGTGAAATTGGGTTTAAACGACGCGTCCAAGACTATTGCACTTATATAGCGACGTGCATGCACGTGTGTGTGGCTGCTTGTACTAGTCCGGACTGATGCCGATTTATAGTGCTATCCCACTGAGATACCATGCCGCAGTTTAACATGAATACCCCAATCAGACACAGTATACTGACTCCGAGCCGACAAGTCCTTGTTTTAGCCCCTTAATGCCGAGCGCCAGACAGGGTAACAAGTACCATCTTTTAACGTCTTTTGGTATGACGCAGCCGGGGATCGAACCCCGGACCTTCCGCTGTCTGGGCGGACGCTCTACCACTAGACCACGGAGGCGGTCCTTTATGGAAGAAATTCTGCGAAATCAACAATATTTACTAAATCCGATTATGAATGTGAGTGTTTGTGTTTATATTCAGAATCTTGGTCTTTTCATTGAACGTACGTGTGATTTGGTCGAATTTCAGTATAAGGTACGAACAGATACAACAATCTACTCCTTTCTTAATAAGAGCTATGTTTGCTCATTACGGGCCTATTAAAAGGGAAGGTAATATTTAGATGACCAATAAATATGCTTGAGTTGGTCCTACATTCTTACATAAATGGCATACTTGCCCGGAACATGCATTTCTTAGTCGAATCGCCAAAAGAGTGAAATCTCTATGCAATATTGAATTAAATAAGGAATTTGTATAGCGCATTTTCCAATTAACAAATGCGTCTAGACTATGATTGATCTGGACAAAGGCTCTCTTGAGACAGGTTTTGGGTGTCTTTTTAAAGTTTGTCAGATCTTCTGTTCCTCGGATTTCTTGTGGCAGATTGTTCCGTAGCAATGGACCAGCATGTTGAACGACCTATCGCCATATGTTTTGGTACTTTGGCACCACTAGCAGATGTTGATCCTTTGATCAAAATACATAGGGAATACAGATGACGTGCATCACGCAGGGGCAACTCACACAGTGTTATCACAGTTAAGCATAAAATGCTTGAATATTATTTTTAAAGCCAATGCTGGTTTAAACATGTTATGTGTTAAAATATATTAGTGTTAGGTTCTTTGAACTTTAGCCTTTCTTTAAACAGGTCTCAACACTCTGCCCCTGTGTATGTGCCTGGGGAGCTGATGTTACCAGTCAGCATTAAAACGCAATACTAATAATCACCGTGATATATTTCATAACCAGGGCCTAGGTTCGTGCTCAAAAGGTGATACGACGACGCGCCCCTGGTCTAACTGACCAGTTCAGCGACAACGCGCCTCTGGGGGTAATTAATTATTTCCACGATAAGACACCGTAGATAAACCTGTACACATGGTATTATGTAACTGTATTCAATATTCTACATGCATGAACACGTGGTCATTTGTTTGCTATACTTCTAACCTGAGTGAGTGAGTTACGCCGCTTTGAACAGTATTCCAGTTACATCAGGGCCGGTCAGGTTGATTTGGGAGGAAAATCCCAAGTGATGCAGGTGTCAGGCGTTTACCACTTGGTGAAACCCACCAGCACGGTATGGTGCTGACTAACAGTACGTGCGTTCGATTACTCAAATGTGAGAGGCCTGAGTCAAGGTCACAACATTTCTGTCAACCAAGGATGACCAGACTCAACCAGTTAACCAGTGTGTTAACCAAGGACAATATCCGAAATAGGACGCATAAAAAGCAACTTCAGATATAAAACAAAATGGCTGCCGGTGTCAGAGTGTGGAATTTCCCCCCTAGCCTAATTTCCCCCCGGAAAAAAGGGCTATATAGCTAAATTTCCCCCGGAAAACTGGCTATATAGTCATACTTCCCACGGAAAGCACACTATATGGCCATATTTCCCACCCGGAAAACACACTATATAACCAATTTTCCGCTTTGGAGTCAGATTTCCCCCATGATTAAATATATGTCTATTATCAAAAGTACCTAGATGTACAGTTGGCTGATGGAGTAATTTACAAGAGAAACCATGATTAAAACCTTGTGTTGTTTTGCGCCATACATTCTTAATTTTATTAAATAGAGGATAATTGATTTCGACATTGAGATATGGCGGATCTGTCACTCGACAGATCAGATCAGCCTTTTGTCACTGACGAAATTATATGTTTTATTTATTATATATTTATTTAGTAGGATATGTGTTTTTTGTTTGTTTTTTTATTTTGTTGTGTATTTGAGGTAAATCAACGAATCTAAAATCTTCCAACTGTCTTCAGTAACAATAAGTCACATTGCTAGTTGAAACACACTTTGCTAGTTGATTTCTATCAGGTCTGCACTGTAATCTTGAACGGCAGTCGTTCTCCTTATCATGGTTGCAGTGACATATCACTTTTCTGTCATCGAGAATCCTCAGTCGCTCACTGCCAAGTATATTATAAAGTATATTTACAACGTATATAGCGCATATATCTGTACGTGCTCATGGCGTTTCTCGCCCCGATCAGAGGTCCGTATATTTTGCATTCCAGAACTTCCCAGCTACATGTGAAATATGCAACCAAAGCTTCCTGTCAGGCGCTAGAAGATTACCCATTCACATTACCATTACCACATTAACTCTTTGGTACTCATTTATTGTTTGTGGACAGAGGCATGCATGAACAAGATCACTTGCCAAAGGTGACGCCGCAAGTTTTTCAACTCGTGTTTCAGTGGAAGATATATACGTGAGTACTGTTTCCGTCATCTGTTCATTTACCAACTGATGAGCGGATTCTGTTTAGTGCATAGGGTTGTGAACTGCAGGCTATGCTTGCGACAACACTTTTAGGACCTGTACTGTGATGTCAGCCCTTAGGTTAAATAACTAAAATAACTACAGTGGCTAGCAAAATCTCAGGATGCAAATTCAACAGTCTGGACTCTCTTTACAATCAACGTGTTTTACAGCTTGCAAATAGAATGTTAGACCAACCAAATCACTTTTTAGACCCTTGTTATGACGTTTTACCATCTGGAAGAAGATATCGTGTGCCTTGTTTTAAATCAAATAGAGCCAAATCTTCATTTGTTCCCGTTAGTATTTTATTTTTAAATGATGAACCAAGTCAACCTGTCTCTTAATCATTGTTTAATTCTTATGTGCTAGTGTTAATTCATATTTTATCTTCTTTAATAGTGCATATTTTGTTGCTTTATGTTATGCATGTATATTTGTTTGTATGCATGGAGTGTTATGTAAGTTTGCATGGAGTGCTATGTATGAGTGCAGATATATGTGTTGGTCTGAAATTGTATTGTTCGTAATGAGTGTATGTACATGTATATTCTTTTCACTTCAAATATAATCCAAATTCCCCTCGGTGTAATAAAGCTTTATCCTAAATAACACTAACGGGGTTAGAACCTGGGACCTCTTGCTCTTCAGCATAATAAAGGCGACAGTGAAATTTCCAGCACCATTAAAACCATAAATAAGGCTATATAGCCCCCTTTCCGGGAGGAATTTAGGCTAGGTGGGAAATCCCACTCTCTGACACCGAGAGAAGGAGAAACACGGCAGCCACGTGTATTGCTTGAGACAGGTTAACTATGAGAGGTTAACACGTGTTTCCTTGCCTGACAAAGCTGCCATTGTACCTTTTCTATTTAATGTATGTAAAACTTCAAGAAAGGTCAAAATAACACACAGAACTTGAAACAGAGCTGCAAAATCATCATCAAAGTTCCTTTTTTTTAATTCTAAAATATATATATCAACAACCGAAAGTTAAATTTCCCTTACGTATATGAGAATACCTATATACTGTAAACACCTCGTTAA